ATTCTCACGGTACTTTTCTCATTTCACTTTGTGGCCAGTAGGTATCTCAGGGTACAGTGTGTCCAAATATCATCTCTCCCACACCTTGTCTGGGTATGAAAAAGACAAAAATCTACTTTGTGACTTGGAGAAAATAAGTAGCACCGAGCAGTTGAGGACTGGGTGCTGAGACTTTGGTTAAGCCATAAGCATCTGAATGCATGAGCCAAGGTGTTGACTTCCTCTTTCCAGGGGGCAACACTGAATTTAGTTAAGCAGAGTATTCCCATTTTTTTTTAGATTTAAGAATCCCTCCAGTCAAACAAATTTGTCTATAGGTTATGAAGTGTATTTGGTTTAAAAAATTTGTTTTTCTCTTCCATGTACTTCACTGAAGGAGTCCTGTTGGGTAAGTATTGGAATGACAAGGTCAAGGTCAGTGGTTCAAAGTCATCAGCTGTCTGTTCCTGTAAAGAGTTAGTTTCAGGAACTATATGGGCACATTATGAGTCAAAATCAACTTGCTAACAGTGGGTGTGGGATTTGGAGATTTCTTTGTACTTTATTAACAGGAATGAATTAAATTAGAGATTATTAGCTAGATTTAAGTAAGCTATATGCTGATGAAGCACTAGAAGCACTTATTCATCTATGCAAGGAAATCTGGAAGATAGCCACTGGCCAACTGACTGGAAGAGATCCATATTTGTACCCATTCCAAAGAAAATGCTCCAATTACAGAACAGTATCATTGTTATCACATACAAGTAAAATTTTGCTGAAGATAATCTAAAAACTGTTTGCAGTAGTACATTGGCGGGTTCAGGTTGGATTCAGAAGAGGATGTGAAGCAAGGACTATCATTGTTAATATCAGACGGATCTTGGCTCAAAACAGAGCACACCAGAAGGATGTTTACTTCTGTTCTATTGACTGTGCCAAGACATTCACCTGTGTGGATGCGGACACACTACAGATAATCTTGAGGAGAATGGGAATTCCAGAACACTTCTTGGATGAAAAGGCACTTGTGTGAAAAGAATGAGAGAGAACACTGTATGGTTGAACATTAGGAAAGGGAAGTGTCAGATTTGTAATCTCTACCCATACTTATTCAATCTGTACGCTGAGAAATAGCCACAGAAGCTGGATTATATGATGATGCAGGTGGCATCAGAAGTTATTAACAACCCATGATGGGCAGACGACAGAATGTTGCTTGCTGAAAGTGAGGACTTGCAGCACTTGCTGATGAGGATCAGATTGCAGCCTTCGGTATGGATTACAACTCAATGTCAAGGGAAACAGACTCCTCACAACTGGACCAATAGAAGTCATCACGATAAACAGAAAAGATGAAAGTTGTTAAGGATGTCTTGCTTGGATCCGTGATCACTGCTCATAAAAGCAGCAGTCAAAAGATCAAAAGATGAGTTGCCTTTGGTAAATCTGCTGCACAAGATGCTTTTAGCGTATGGCAAAGCAAAGATGTTACTTTGAGGACTGAGATACGCCTGACCTACACCATGGTATTTTCAATTGCCTCAGATGCATGTGAAAGGTGGACATTGACTAAGGAAGACCAAAGAAGAATTGATGCTTTTGAATTATGGTGCTAAGAATACTCAAAGTACCGTGAACTGCTGAAAAAACAAGCAGATCTGTCTTGGAAGTACTGCCCAGAGTGCCCTTTGCAGGCAAGGATGGCGAGACTTCATCTTGCATACTTTAGACATGTCAGGAGACCCCAGTCCCTGGAGAAGGACATCATGTTTTGTAAAGTAGAAGGGCACTGAAAGAGGAAGGCCCTCAAGGAGAGGGCCTGACACAGTGGCTGCCACAATGCAGAGGAACAATTGTGAGCATGGTGCGAGACTGGGCAATGCTTCGTTCTGTTGTGGGATGGCTCCTACCAGTCAGAACTGACTGGTTAGCAGCTAATGCATCATGTTTTGAAATGAAGGCAATAGGAAAATAAGCCCAAGTGTTTAATTATTTTATGAAATAATTTATTTTTCCATTCACTGCAGAGAGGCTACGAATATATCTGATATGAAAACAAGGGGTGGAACTTGCAAATACTGGCAGAGATGGTTGAGAAGACTTGAGGACACACGACCTTTCTCCATTAGTTTATCTTCCATCACACACATCCTCAAACACCAGAGGCACTTATGAAAATGGTTAGACAAAGTGTATGACATTATTTTAAATGACCCAAGGCAAAAAAAAAAAAAATTTAAATCGAAGTGCTTGAATTTTCTTATCATTTTGACTTTTGACACTTTACTGACCCAAATCCCTGCTCATTGATGCAATTTACTTTTTGTCTTAAAATATTTAATAGATAAGTTTATACATACATGCTGGCGTACTGCCATCTGTGACTTCCTAGGCACAGTCTTAAAAAAATTTTTTTTAATAAAAACTTATTAGGGGCTCTTACAGTTCTTATAACTATCTATACATCAATTGTATCAGGCACATTTTACATTTGTTGCCACCATTTCCAAAACATTTTCTACTTGAGCCCTAGGTATCAGCTTTTTACCCCTCCCTCCACCGTGAACCCTTGATAAGTTAGAAATTATTTTTATTTTCATATTTTACACCATCCACCGGTGGTCTCCCTTCACCTGTTTCTGTTGTTCATCCCACTGGGTGTGTGTGTGTTATACATCAGTCATTGCGATTGGTTCCCCCTTTCTACCTCTACCATCCTCTTACCCTCATGGTATTGCTACTAGCATTATTGGTCCTGTGGGGTTTATCTGTCCTGGATTCTCTTTGTTGAGAGCTCTTATCTGTACCAGTGTACATGCTCTGGCCTATCCGGATTGGTAGGGTAGAACTGGGGTCATTATTGTGGGGGGCAGGAAGCATTAAAGAACGAGAGGAATGTTGTGTTTCTTTGGTGCTATACTGCAACCGGGCTGGCTCGTTCCTTCCTTGTGATTTTTCTTTGAGGCTATGGCCAATTGTCTACAGGTGGGCTTTGGGGCTCCATTCCAAAACCCACCCCCCTTGTTTGCATTAAAATGGTTGTTTGTTTTGGGTCTTCTGACACCTGATCCATCAACACTGTGCTTCCTCTATGAAGACTTTATTGTTTCTGAGCTAGATGGCTGCTTGTTTAACTTCACGCCTTTAAGACCCCAGATGCTACATCTTTTGGTAGCTGGCCACCATCAACTTTCTTCACATTTGATTAGGCATCCACTTTGTCTTTAGCGATTGTGTCCAGAAGGAGAGCATCACAGAATACCAGGTTATTAGAACAAAGTGTTCTTGCATTAAGGGAGAACTTGAGTACAGGCCCAATGTCTGTCTGCTACCTTAAAACTTAACCTATAAATGAATGTATATAAACCTATATCCCTATCATTATTAATAAATTTACATATATACATGCCTATGTTTATACTTCTATAAATGTCTTTTGCCTCCTAGTTCTTTCCTCTATTTCTGTTAGTCTAGGTACTTTGGAGAAACAAATCCACAGCAACTCATGTATGAGAGAGTCTGATGTAAAGGTTAAGTGTGCATCAAGAAAATATCCCAATCCAGTGCTATCCAAGCCCACAAGTCCAACATTAACCCATTAGCCCATATTTCCAACACCAATCCACAAAGTCCTCCTCCATCTCACAAAACAGACACAATGATGCCGACTGCAGGAGGAAAGCCGAGTCAGTGAATGTGTAAGCATCTCAGCGCTGGAAGGGTCACCACACGGGTGCTCCAGCACCCAGGGCTGCATCGGGATAGGTCCATGTGTCTTCTCCTTGGGGGTGTCTTATAGGAAGTCTGCCTTGCCAGCTAAAGCAGGGAACTGCTAAGGCAGCTGCACCCTGGTGCAACCATCACAAAGCAAGAGATCCAAGAACTAGAAAGGAGAGGCTCACTGAGCCATTTATCCCTCTACCCTTCTATTAATCCGTTTATTGGCCAGGTTGGCACAATAAAGTAACTCAATTTCCTTTTACTTTCCTCATGTCCCATCATCATGTTCGACCTTCATTCAGCTCTCTGTACTTCCTCCCAGCTACAATGCACTTGATTGAACCCCACCAGGCATTCTATGCTCTCCTCACCATTGATTTTAGATTTCTTGTTGTTCCCTTGTCCCTGGATTTGTTGGTTCCTCCCTCTTTCCTCACCTTCTCCTCTCCCTTGACCCCCCGGAACCATGGGTCTCATTTGTTTTCTCTTCAGTATTGTTTTGCCTATCTTATATAGACATGAAAAAAAGGTACAAAATAACCCAAAAACCCAAACCCCCCAAACAGCCTATGAATAGTTCGAGGTCTGTCTGCTGACCCTTATGAATGTTTTCCAATTGGATCTGATGTAGTGCCAAGCCCTGGCCTGAGTCCAAAATCTATTTTCAGAATTCCTTGGGGACTTTGTTACTTTGCTCCCCTTGCTGCTCTGTTGCTCTCCCTTCGTGTTACGCCCATTGTGCAGGTGTCAGACCGGGCACAATTCCTGTATTGCATCTTCAGTGCTGCTCCCCGTAGCACTGTGGGTCAGTAAGGGGACATTGAGTCTCATGGTGAGGCTAACCCTATGGTCCTTTCTGCCTAGGCACATTCTTTAACCATTCATGAACAAACATTCATCGAGCATCTGCCAGGTGGGTGCTGGGGTGGCACAGAAACAGGGTATGGTCTTGCTTTCACAAGGTCAAGTTTACTTTTACCCTTTTATTTGGGCCTGTCATGCTTTCCGTTTCATTTCTATTGATCCAAGCAGTTTCTTAGAATACAACAGAAACCAGAATTAAAATCATGTGTCCCTGGCCTTACTCTACTTGATTTCCAGAAAAAAAGTGAGAGTAAGACCAAAGAAAAACTTACAGCGAATACCCAAACCCTTCATTTGCCAAAGGAATGGTGCCACTCTCGTACAACATGAAAAAGGCAATCGTGGGCAGGCTGAGAGAGTGGGCACCTTACGTGTCTTTACATGTCTTAGTGGCAATTCCCCACACAAATAAAAGCACTGCATTACATTTGAAAACAAATGTATAAATGCTTTGTCATTTATTCACGTTTACTCCCTGCACTCAAGAAATATCCAGTCACAACCCCATGTGAAAACACAGAATCTGAAAAAAAAAAAAGAATCTCAAAAAAAACCAAAAACAAAACACAGAATCTGATTAATAAGACAATGAGTTATGCTTGACTTAGTAATTCTCTGGTTCAATACAGTCAGGAACATCTAACGGTATTCAGTCTCAACATGAGAAACACTTTCTTGCATATTTCCCCATCGGAGTGGGCAGCCGTGTTGAGGGACATCAAGCATGTTAACAAGTGTCCTGGCAAGTGAGTTCAGTTCAGTTTCTTTTTATTCTTGTCTCTTCAATCTGCACATATATCGCTTTCGAGGTATTCATCCACATGCTACATGGAGTTGAAAGATTCCAATTTTTGCTATCAAAAATGCTAGTTTTTCTATTGCAGAGTAATACACAAAGATGACACTAACCAGCCATCAATAGGAGAGCTAATACGAAGTTATTTAGAAATCAGATGTGTACTAAACATTCTTTTTTCATTGTAGATAATGTTCCAGTCTAGATACTGATTTTTCCTTTAATCCAGAAATTCCTGGATCAATACAATCTCGAGACATTTTCCAGAGAGTTTACTAGGATATAGGAACCAAAAGGTCACAGGTATGAAGAAGTTAGAATAGGAGGAGTCAATTAATCGGCATTATAAGCATACAACTGCTGCAGGCAATAGGCTTCCGTAATTAAACATATAAGCCACAAGTTTACATTCCAGGCATTATGAAACAGAATGACCTGATTGTATGGTTATCAACTAGTATTTGCAAAACTACTTCCATTTGTCTGTGTACCTTCATTCCTGTTACATGAATGACAGTTCTGACGGTGGGGAAACTTCACTTTGCAAGTGCAGGATGATATGAGCTGAATGAGAAAAAGAACGATTATGGGAGAGAGGGGTGTTGGCTCTGGCATCAATGTGAAAAACCTATTTTTTTCTTCTGTTTTTGGTCTTAAAAAGGCTCTTGTCTCCAAGGTTACCACATGAAGGAATAAACATGCTAGCCATTTTCAGGGCATCAAGAGTAATCAGGCCCGAGAAAGATGAAACAATAAACTGGGAGCCAAGCCACGGTAACTGCAGACTTCCTACAGGGTGAGAGGCCTGCCACCACCATTCGTGCAGCGTATATTTAAACACAGAGAACTACACGAATCCAATACTGCCAAATAAATATTGTTTTAATTTTCTACAGTTACATGTTTGAAGAATTTTATAATTATTTCTTTAAAAGTAGTACACCTTGTTAAAAGAAACACCAGGAAATGTGCACTCTGGCGATGACTGTTCTTCATCTTTACTGATTGATATCCTGGAAAAATCAGATTTTGATACCAACCAATAGAAAAGTAACCACTATGATTCCGGTTCCAGCCCCAAGGAAAGGACACCTGTAAGTACATGCGCTAGAACTACTTCTGCCCACAATCCATTAAAACACCCCTAAACGTAGATGAAAGGGTCAGCTACACAACTCTAAAACTGTTCATTTTCTTGGGGCTCCTCCTTTGTTTAAGGCTTTGTACGGCCCCGATGCTGTCACAGTAACTGATGGCTACAAAGAGAAGAATAGTGAACACACTCCATCGTATGTAAGACCTCTGTCTCTTTTTTCACTGCGTTTAGCAATATGTAGCTCTCCACAACTTGTAAGCGTCCTGAGTTATCTCAATCTTTCAATTTTCTTTGCATCCTAAACAGAACATTTTCCCCTTAGTACTAATCCTGTTGCATTGAAAATACAATCAAACAACTGGACAGATTCTAGGTTTCATACATGTGCAAGTACACAAGTTTCTGAAGAATATTTAACTTTATTATAAAGCTTCCACCCCACATACATTAGTGGACTATTCACATTGACTTGCTTAAACAACATGAGGAGATTGGCACATTTTAAAGTTAAATTAATAGCACATCTAATCATTATAAAAACAGGTTCAAGCATCCATCTGATTAGTGACTGATTACCCTGTACATAGATTACTTAGGCTCCTGGCTTTTTGTATCTCATCACTGTTGGCTGATTTGACACTTTACTGTACAGCATGCATCACCAAGAAATTGATCAAGGGAATGCAAGGGTATCAATTCAAAGCAGACAGTTTTGCTACTTTTAGCACTTCTGGTAAAAGGAGTTAAAGAGAAAGGTATTAATGAAAATTAAAATATGGAATAAATTACTCATGGATTTCATTTCCTCACATTATCACTGGCCTCTCCTTATTGGAAACTAACCGAAAACAGACTGGACCATGATTTGCAGCTATTTTCAGACAACAGCCCAGTAACTGCCCAGTCATTTTGTCTTTTCCAGCGCAATGGCGACAAACACTTTTTCTCCACACTATTCATCGTTCCCATTGCCAAAACAAAATTAGACAATACTTTATACAGTAAAAATCAGGTTTCCTGGAATGCTTTCAGTTATACCTGAAGGCAGCAACATTTACAACAATTAGCTTTTGTTATGTCATAAATATGTGGAAATTGCTTGCAAAGCAATTGTAGTGTGAGATGAGTGATTTCCTTGCAAATATTGACAAAACAATTAAGCATCTCTTTCAGCAAAATGATTTGGTACTCTACATAGGTTCCCTGTGACTCCTGCCTTGAGGCAGTAAATTCAAGTCCTTATGCCATTAAAATAACAATATGAAATATCATCGGTTTAACTATATACACAAATAATGAGCTGGCAAGTATCCAGTTTCAAATTGGATCCTTGGAATATGGAAAAGTATAGGCTGGCTATTTATGCCTTAGAATTAATTATAAGCACATTTTATTAGAAGAGGAGAAGATAATTAGACATTCTCAATGCTCCAATTTGAAGTGATACTTGCCTCATAGTTTCTTGAAAAAAAGTTTTGAAAGTATATACATAGGTTTCCTTTAAATTATGCAGCAATCTTTTATTATTGTTGTTGTCCCAGATCTTGTTTGAGGAATGTCTCTGTCATCAAATCAAGTGCGATACTTCATAACTATAAGAACTGTAAGAGAAAGAAAGGAAAAAAGGGCATGTCAAAACCATTCATATGCTCTATTAAAAGCAACTCCTAAATGCAGCTATGTCCACTTTTGTAAATGGGTAATGAGGGCTGAATTTCTGACCCAGCAGTAGATAACTTAAATGAGAAAGTATGAATGTCATGAATGTCATTTTATTTTTTTAAAAACATGCTTATAGGAGGGGAATTCAAAATCTTTGTGAAAGAATTCCATTATCAATTCCATTTTTCCACAAAATTTTTGAGGCCCCACACATATTCATAGGAAGAGACCAGAAGATATACAACTGTTATCATGATAGTATGCTATGCCATATTTTCTAAATAAAACATTTTCTAGATATATGTAAATATATATTTCCTTTTTTCTGTTGAAAAAATAAGAGTTCTTCAAATAATTGTTTTGAGATATTTTCCAAATCATTACTAAATCCATAAATATAGGTAAATAGGTTTTAGTGAAATGGAAATATTAAAATTTATCTGACCTTAAAAAAAAAAGTAAGAAAGAATGGGGATAGGAGAGCTATATTTTAACAACTAAAATTAAACTCATATACAAAAAAAGACCAAACCGAAAACATAAACACCGTCTGGAGGATTTATCTTGTCCTTCAAACATAATGTTATGAGATGCAACTTGCCATACCTGAGAGTTAATAGCAAGTAGAAAAGGTCCTGAGAGTAACAGTAGCCATTTGGGAGCTTGGATAAGTCACTTAGTCCTTTTTTTTTTTTTTTGGGGGGGGGAGGGTAGAGTAGGGAGCTAGAGGGGAATTCCCATTGAGAATCTGAGAAAAGACAAAAATTCACTTCTCATAAATATGTACACATGCACATTCTCAATGGGAGCATTTCTAGAGATGCACAGGTCCCAAGGTAAGAGTCCCTGACTCTGGTCATTATCCCAACATCAGTCATAGTAGGCCAGGTGAACACAAATGTAGAAGGGAATTAAAATGAACCCCCTATGGCTGGTCCCAACAAGAAATAATCCAGTAAATACTTACTGATAATCACTAGCAAAAGGATACCAGCAACCAAAGCCATAATGGCTTTTATCTGTAAAACAGGCAAAAACAAAAAACAACAAAGCATAAAGGATGTTAATGTTTGATTTCTTAAAGTCCAAACCACTTGTTATGTTATATACCACAACATACAAAATCATTAATAAATCGGCACATTCCTTGAAAAGCTTTCAAATTTCTACTCATTTAAGCGGTCTTCTTTTATTTTTTAAAAAATTTTTTAAAATAAAATTTTTTTATAAATCATTTTATTGGGGGCTCGTACAAAAATAACTCTTATCACAATCCATACAGACATCCATTGTGTCAAGCACATTTGTACATTTGTTGTCATCATCATTCTTGAAACATTTGCTTTCTACTTGGGCCCTTGGGCTTGCTACTTTTTCACATCTCCATATTTAAGTTTTTCTTGGTTGGATTTTACTGTTAAAGGCTGTTTTCTATAGCAAAGGGTAACAACCAAAGCTTTCATGGGCCTGGGCCCTTTTGTATATGATTTCTCTCCCAGGTTTATTTCTAGTAGGAGACAAGGAAACAAATATGGTATGTTAGTAACTCTCTTCAAGTGTCAGGATAGGATGAATAATATAGGCATCTAACTGCCAAACGGTTCCATATTATCTGACTTAAAGCAGAGTTTTTAAAGCCCTTATTCTCAAAGTATATGAAGAATTTGGTCAGTTTTGTCTATACTTTCTTATTGTCTACAAGTTTCTTATTGGCATTTGTATCACCATTTGTGAAACTCTAATATTAGTCCTTGGCCAGCTACTCAGTTTTGAAAGTTTACCTTCTCTCTTTATATATAAAAACTGTCCCACTCATAATTCAATCTTAAAATGCATAAATTATAAACAGACTTGATTTTTCTGATGAAGGCAAAGGAAAGCCTTTTCATTACACAAGATAACTGACTAAAGATGGCCACTCAGAAAAAAAGACACCTAGTTATTAAAAACTATTATAAACAGATGAAACATTCTGATGGTTATTACAAATAGCAACCAAATAGCTAATGAGCTGTCACTAAAATAAATTACTATGACATTTTAGTGGCATTATATTCCTGACAATAACAAACTAATGCAGAGAATAGATGGAAGCTTTGCAATTTGGATACCAGTGTCTATTAAAATGATGAATTATGATAACAAAAACTAGAAATAGACTCACATCTAAATGACTTAGAAGACATCCTTAAGAGGTAAATTAGTTTCTAGAAAATGTTTTGCTGCAATCTATTACAATAGAGTCATTCAACCCTTTCTCCCCCTTGTTACAAATGTCTGTGCTTCTAATAGAACAAAGTCTGGAATGAGGAGGAAGAGGATTTTTTAAAATCCCATTTTCTACAGCAAATTCTGATTCATAAACTGTCTTTATTTTTACCCCCCCTCAATGGGAAATTATATTTTTCTCTAGCTTCAATTTTATTTTTTTTCAGAATCTCTAGATTTAATGTTCTCTGCCTCTAAAGAGTATTAGCAATGAAGAATATAAATGTAAAAACGTAAAAATATTTTAAATGATAAAAATCTGTGATATTAGGTCTAGAGCCAGTTATTAACAAAATGTAGATTATTTTCTATGAAGAAATCTATGAAAGCATCTTTTTTAAGGCACTGCTAGATTCCTTTAGCTATTCCTGTCTCTTTCTACCTGTCCCAGGTCCAGAGGTTACAATATCAACAAGACAGCTGTAGTCCTTGTCTTATTATTAATTCTTGAGGCCCTGTTTCATTCATGTCTTTGAAAACCATGTGAGATGCTATCCAATGTAACTAGTATCTATGGATTCACTTACTTTGCATCCACGCCACCACATTTGCCTTCGAAGTTGTTTGGATCTGTTGCTAAAAGCAGTTGCATTATCCGATAAGCTTTCTATATCACACAGAGGATGGAGAGAAGGATTAAACGACATAACAGGATTCGTTTATCTAGTCACACAAAGACAAGAAAATATTGATTTCTACTTCTACCAAGTCTGAAAATGTTAGGCTTCTAAGCATGAAAACAATATCCTCTCTTTCTTCCACCCACAAATTCTGACATTCTACATGTTAGAAAATAAATTCTGTAGGTTAGTTTATGTAATTCATTGACTAAAAGAGTAAGAGACTTCCAAGGGCATCAATGCTTTTAAGCAAATGTATTAATCCTGGTAAAGAAATATCCTTTAAAAATTCAAATACTTAAAAAAAAGGGAAGAGGTGTTAACAAACCCAGGGACAAGGGAACAACAAGCGATCCAAATTGGTGGTGAGGTGGGGGTGGGAGACCCGGTAGGGCATGATCAAGGGGAATGTAACAAAGATGAAGTGCTGAAATCCTGGTGGGGACTGAGCATGATAGTGGGACAGGAGGAGAATCAAGGGAAA